GTAGGAAAGAACAGAGCAGTCTAGTGGACAATGGCACTCTGCACACAGGTGTCCAAAAAGCCTGTATCAAGATTCCTCATGGATGACACTTTAAATAATACAGTGCCATGGGATAGGAAGGATCATCCCCTGTGGATTAAGAACTGGCTAAACCAGGGCAAAGATACTGAAAATAAGTTGGTTTTCATAATGCAGGGAGGTTACACGTGCAAACTCACATGGCTTTATGCTCTTCAGCATACCTGCAGCTGATCTGGACAAGGAGGTAAACAATGACCTAACTATGCCAATAACACAAAATGGTTTAGCGCAATCAAAAGCAGCTGTCTGAAGTGCCATGGAGAATCTCTTAATATCTGGAAATCTTAGAAACATTGGGAGATAAACTGATATATCAAAAGCTCAGCATTTTTCTTCAACCTCTGCTTAGCTTTGAAGGTAGTTTCTATTTCAGATCTGAAGAAGGGGTTGGAAACCTGAGGAGAAGTATGAATGAATTAGCTCTGTGTAACCTATTTCTTAAAGCACACCCAAAATCACTCATATCTAAAAAAATAATTCATTTATTCAACATAGAGGTGAATAAAAAAATAATTTCCAAATTCTTTTATTTCTAGAAAAAATAATTTAGTATATTCCACACAGAGTTTCTCTGATCTCATCTGTTCCTACTCCTTTATTTAAAAGTGTGCTTTCAGCAAGCACCCAAATTGTTCTTTAACTACACAGCTGAATTTCTGGTCTATGGATCTGCATTAACTCTTCCCAACTCACTGACAGCAGCAGACTCTTACAAAGGTTTGCTGTAGGCTTGAAATAATTTTTAAGCCATGGGCAAAACCACTGATGATATTAAACAGGTCAGGCTTCTGAATCTACAGCAACAGCACAGGTGAGCAATACTGATTTATGGGAAGTGTTTCTTAAAGTCAGCTGGCCGTTCTGCGTATCATCTCTGATTTATGCTCCAGTCCTTCTAGTCAAGCTTTATAGTTGTTGAATTTCTCCCACTCAGGCATGGATTTAAGCAGATTTAGCCTAAACTTCCACTGCCATTTTGCAAGCGGCCAGTGCTTCTGCAGATTACTGCGAGTCTGCAGGAGCCAGACTTTGTTAAGTAAGAGATGGCTGTTTCTAGTTCCCACAACTAAGGCAGCTGCAAGGTGCTTTAGCAATGGAAAGCTCCTCTATTGGACAGCATTTTTCAGAATACGGAGGATTTTATGTGTTTGCCATGAGGGAGAATGAGAACAGTGCAGAGATGATATGTAGAAAGCGCCCGAGATTCTCTTGTGTGGAAGTTCATCTCACCTCAGCAGATGGTGCAACTGGAGCAATTCTGTGTGGAACTGCTGGTTCGTCACAAAGATCCTGCCAAAGTGAAGAAGCGGGAGGATCAGAAACAGAAAAACCAGCCAGAATTCTCAGCAGAATAAATAGGCTTTTGTGAGTCAGTTACGATTCCCTGAGCTATCTTATGCTTTTTCTTTCTTACTGTTGAGACCTCTCTCTCAACCAAAGCTTCCTTCATTTTACTTTATTTTTGCACTCAAATTGTTCTATTTCTATTCCCAGGTCATTTTCAAAGGGGAGAAAGGGAAAGGAAGAACTGGGGATATTGGACTAGATGACGTGGTCTTGAGGAGAGGATGCTGCTCCGAGGAGCATTAGCGAAGACAGTGGACCAGCACAGTCATCTCTAGCCCTTCTCCTGCTATTCCTACCAAACTTTGAAACAGAACTGCACGAAAAAGAAGTCAGAGTGTGACAACTTCCTAGTGGTCTGCTAAGTGCAATCTCAGTGAAACTCCACTTAAAACCATGGAGAGCACCTCCCAGGATTCAGGAACTCTAATCCCACCCAGACTGGTTGTTTCTATTAATCCTTACCCCTAAATCATATTTTGTATGTAGTAACTTTATCCCCCTGGAGAGCGCTCACACAAAGAGCGCTTGTGAAAAAAGGGAGAATTAATTACAAACGGTGGAAAAAGGAAGCTCCAGCTCAAAGTTTTAGTGTTAACTGATGGTCATTATCTTCCCATAGTGCTACTCTTGCATTGATTAGATTTGCTAGACTGTGGGACAGATCAGGCTGCAGGCTCACCTCAGGTTGGACCTGAACTCTGGCTTACTGCCACTGACCTTCGAAGAAGGGTTTGCTTCATATTAAATAGTATTTGTTTTGGTGTTGCATCTGTATTAACAAAAAGCAGTTACATAGAGTAGGCGCTGCCTCCTGTAATATTGCTACTGCTGTGTTTTGTGTATATGTGTATGGTTATTACATATTTATGTTTTTAATATTTACAGACTCTAGTTGCAAGGTAATTGGCAACTGTGCTTTCTTATTGTACAAGACAGGGGTTCAGCATATTCTCTGATCCCGCTGGTCGTGCCAATAGATATGTTACCAAAGTCAGTTACTGTGCTGACTGAAATTGTGCTCAGGTGCTCATTGAAAAATGCTGGTGTGGTTTTTCCTGTTGTTAATACGCTGAAGGCAAAAGACCAAACCCTCACCTGATGTAAACTGGCATCTGATAATGCTGTACAAGTTTGCAGTTAGCTCAGGAGCAAGCCCTACAGGGCTCTCAGTCCTGCAAGAACCTCCTGGTTCAGTTGAAGATGAGCAGCCTGGAGCAGAGAACTTGCATCTTGTAGGACTGAGCCCGTTGGCACAACCAGAACTGTTCCTTCCCAGAGGTGGTATGAGCCTACGCGGAAGTGAAAGGGCGGCTGCATTAATGCTGTATGAACAATTCAGACCGTGAAATGCCTTGAGTGATCTTTGTCAATTGTCCATATTCCACCCAACCTTTCTGTATATAATGAACATTTTATTCTTTAGAACTAGAACAACTGTTAGCTCTAGACAGAAGTAAATAGTCATCACAACTTTGGACTAATGTTTTAGTTATGTATCATGCATGTGGTGTGCAGTTTCCCAGGAAATTCTTCTGTTCAGTTTGGGATTTTTAAGGGAGGGACATTCATCATCATCGCTGCTAACAATTCTAAATTTGACAAATGTTACAATTACTTTAAGAAAATGACAGGAGATTGATAACATGTTATTAGTGGCACAGCCTTAAAAGCTTAAAAAATGTATATGGAGAAGAAATAGTTCTCAGAACTTTTAAATAATTAAATACACTATAAAATAAATGTCAGCATCATATCATGTTATAAAACCATCATTAAAAAGAAAATCTCATGTTAAGCCTTGCAACAGAGTCCACAAAGACAAAATTGCAGGACGATTAGAGGTTGTATTCCAAACCCCTGTTTCTGACAACGTACTGTTTTGAAAATATTTTTCCAATTTGTCCGCCAGGACAAAGCACAGTATATAGAGCAGCTGTTTATTTGCCCAAACAGCTAGTCTCCAGCAAAACTGTATCAACAAACATTGTGAAAAGGTAAAACCAATGCATTTGTAAACATTTTAAAACTATTTTGCTTCAAATATGATCATGATCTTTTTCTCTTATGTTACTTTGCAGTATGTCAGAAATATTTGTGAATAGTTGAAATACCTTGTGCTTATTTTGAAGTCATCAGTAAAGGAGGCTGTTACTTGCTACTAATTGGCAATCTTGTTTTCATTTCTGGATCGGAAGTCTCATTTTTACTGCAGTGAAATGAGCCAAAAGATGACAATTCAACCAAAGCACAGTAGCTCTTGTTACCAGATTTAAAAACAAGAGTACATTTCACTGTAATATGATGAGCATATATGTGTTATTCAAAACGAAGAATGATGATTTTCAACTAGCTTTTTTTTAAGAACAGTTTCACAGGTAACTTAAGAGCTTCTGCAGTATAAAATGTCCATTTTACAAGCAGCAGCAGCTGCCATAGTTCCACACATGCCTGAATGTGCACAAGCTGTCATATTCTTTGGCATCTAATGAGATTAACACATTCTGGTCTGGTTCACCTACAGTGAATGACGATGGTCTTTACCACCTATCGCTACAGCTCTCCGAGACTGAGACTCCCTGGTTGAAATAATAGAAATCTATCTGCTATTTATGCGAGACTAAAAGGGCGTTTTTGCCCCTTTACAGATGACCAGGATTTGAATGAATTCAGAAGGTAAACAGAAACGAGTACTCAGGTGACATGAGGAGTCTCGGTGTTGTACAAACGCATTTCATCCTTACAATCCAACAAGGAACACCATAAAGCCTAGTTAACACCCGACATCTCGGCTGGCAACAGACACTGGGATAGTCTTTGCCTGTCTGGCAAAGTCACTCACCTCCACAGCCCGTTGTGCCATGACGCTGTTCGTGTCATCTCCTCCATGTTGTGACGATCCCTCTCCAGCTGTGGCTGCTCCCGCCCTCTCAGGCAGCTCCGTACAGCCACACGCTCAGCCTGGATGGAGCAGGTACTGCCACTCGCATGCGAACCTTGAGAAAGAAACGGGAATATGGCCTGAGGTATTCACGTCAAGTAGGCTGTAAATGCCCTTCCTACTTAGGGTTTAATAAATAGGTAACAGTGCCACAAGAAATTCCTACTTAAATACTTCGGCAAGCAGAAGAAATTGCACTAAATTAGCATGAAAACATTTATCAAATGTACCTCTTGCCAGTTTATGATTTAATGTTTTTAAAAGGCATGTTCAACTTTTTTTTCCCTAAAAAAGATCGAAAATGGATTCTTCATAAATTACAGGTACCGTGACCAGTGGTAGTGTGCGTTTTCTGCATTCGCTGATCTCAGAGTACAACGGAAGGGACCGATACAAGATTTTGTTTCCAGGTTGCGTTCTATGCAGCCACCTCACCCTTCATCAGAGCTAAGCCATTACGTAAGTCCCTAGGGAGTGCATGCAATAAACCCCATTCACTCTGGAGAAAAGCTTTCCTAGGCTTCCTTCAGCAAATTACCCTAGGCTTGGAAGTCAAAACATTGGTTTTTAATATAGTTGGAGATTACAGTGACCACCCTAGTAAGAGTCAGGTTAGTGTTGAGAAGACAACCCTGAGCAGCAGAACACTCACGACAGCAGCGCCTGCCTCCAATCTAAGCGGCAGCTCGCTTGCTCTCTTTTTACGCCCCATAACAAGTTGTTCCTCCCTGCAGATGAGGTAGAGAAATTGTCTCAAAGAATGCTAAAATGAGAGACTTTGCATCAAGCCTTGGGGCAGTTGCCTTGAAACCTGTTCACTCCGCCTTTGAAGATATGCAACAAGATAAACTATAGCTGGCTGTCTTTAAAATTTTAATTGTGAATGTTAGAAAGATTGAGTCATTAACTGTCAACTGAGGCCTAGTTAAATCCTATGCAATTTTTATTTATATAGATCTATATCTCAAGCACCAAAATAGCAACGTTTTCCTAGTGGTTAAAACACTTTTTTTACCTGCTGTTTTATCCTGATGTGCTGTGGTCACACAAGGTTTTACGCCTTCAGATTTTTCCACACCAATAAAAAAAATTTAAAAATTGAGATTAGAAATGCATTGGTGTAAACCTGCAACTTTAGAAAGAAATAAATGTTATAGTGGTAAGTTCCAGCAGTGGTTTGAAAGAACACAGAAACCTCCTCAAGCTTTGAAAGTTAATGTGTTCTCAGAGCACAACTATTGCATCAAAGTGACCTAGTGGTAAGTGAGGAAACGCATGCTGAAGGTCCGCAACGCTTTATTTGGTGAGAGGACGATGCCAACGGACCAGAGACCTTCAGGGACCACAAAGGCAACTTTAACAGTGGAGACTGAAGCACCTACAGAGTTAAGACCCCAGCTCTGTGGAGGTTTTCAGGATTGTAAGTCCAAAATGAATCAAATCACATTCTAGCTGCTCTGTTCCTACCAGTTCTCCTGGTGCACTTGTATGACCTCTTCCAAGCCCAAACCCTGTTCCTTTGCTTTGAAACAAACTGTCCTCCAGACAGTGCTCTGGCTGGTTGCTTTGGGTTAGGATAGCCTATTTTTTGAAAAACAAATGGTTTATTTTTTTACTTCTCTCCTTAAACTTGACAAACAGCCTGAGTAACATTACTGAGATCAGGATAGTAGTTTCTTTCCATGGCAAATAACCCAATTACTGGATCTGAGTGATCACTGGACTTAGTGATCTTGTCTTCCTAAGAAATCTCTAATTTAATGCCAGAGAGCCAGATGGGATATCATGCTTACACGTGCTTGATACATGTCAAAAGTATAGAAGCATCCCTCATTTTCTTAATAAGATGTCCAACAATGAAGCAAAGTGGACCTGAGTTTTCTGGATAGACAGAAAAAATTTTCTGCTCTATAGATCAGGCACTCCATCCTTATTTTTCTTCAGGTTACTTCCCAATACCTGTTAAGAATCAAACCAATTCTTTCTTTACTCTTAGTAATATTTAACCTCATTCTGTAGTGTGTGGGCAGATTTTTGCCACTTTACTGTTTTCCTGTAATCCAGCTATTAGACTCCCCAAGACCCCCAAAACAACGCTCCATTGCCATCAAACCACTCTTCTACAGGTATCGCAGACACCACATCCCTAGAGCCAAAGGGCCATCTCTACAGCAGCTGTGCACTCTGTGTACCAGGAAACATTATATATAAGTGCACATACTGTGTGCATGTCTGTGCCGATAGGCTCAGGCCACTATTAAGTGTTTGAGCAAGGAAGCCAAGTATTTCTCCAGCACACAGAATA